CCCGCCCTGTACTGGGGAGCCCAAATCTGGACCTGGCACTCCAGATGTGGCTTCACTGCTCCTGAGAAACACAGAAATGGTGTATGATACTGAACACCAGACAACCTTGTGTTTGGGATCCCTGTTGATGAGTGTGATGGAAATAAGAAACATTGCTGTCACTGCAGTGGGAAACTGATCTGGCCCTGGGCATTTCTGCAAAGCAGTAGGTGATGTAGGTTTTATTTCGTCTCTTGAGTTTTCTTTCATAAGATGTAGCACTTCCCAAACAGTGTTTTTCTAAACCCAGCTTCTCGAGACCTGTTCACTGCCCCATTGGCAAGAGGTTGGGGTGAGGCTGGATACTGTGGCCCTGACCTCAGACAGCCCTCGGCCTGTTGGCACCGAGCAGGGCAGAGCAGTGGCCATGAGTCATCTCTGAGATGTTTGCGGTTTTGTTTTCACCTGTGTTTGCAACAGTCCCCAGCTGTTACCTTTTGGATTCCCTCCGGGTACTTCTAAACTGGAGCTGCTTTTGGATGTTGTTAGGGAATACAGCACTATTTTTTCACTCTGTACACCATAGTCTGATACTCTCTTATCCCCTGCTTTTTTTTCTACCCGCCAGCAGATTGTTTTTATGCTTTTCATCAGTGTAGTGATCCCCAAATGTTTTATATTTATGCTCCCAGTGGTTGTTTAGCTTACCCTTGCTTGCTGATCCTCACAGATCTGTGTTTCTTCCCTGCATATGGTGGCTTCTGAGCTGGAGAAACGTAACTTTAATTTAGATCTTTTATTTTATTTGCAAAAGGAGAGATTAAGAGGTCAGGAACTGAAATAGGGCTCAGTGCTTATATGGGAGCGAGACCAAACAGTAAAGGCGATAGGAATACCAAGGCTCAGTTGGTGCAGGGATGGAGATGCTCCTGCCCTTTTGAGGTGCATCCTACTGATGGTCTCACCCCACAGCCAGAGGTGGGAAGTGCCTTCCCCCTGGGGCAGGCAGGAGGAGAAGTGTTTGGGAGCTGTTCCTTGCAAAAGACGATGAGGAGAGACACTCGGCTCTGAGTAACCCCCAGGCTGAGCAGACTGGCACAAGGAGCAGAGGAGTGGGGTTGAGTTGCTTGTTCTGAGTGTAATCTTCTCCCTCCCTCTGCTTGGGGTCCTTTTCCCATTTCACCACTCTCTTGATTGGAATTCCCCTGGGACTGCTAAGGACCGAGTCTCACAAAAGCATTCAAGGCTCAGAATAAGCTTTTGGCTTGTGACTCCCAAATTCTGACCCACCTTTGCCTACCTGGCCCTTTTACTGACTGAAGCCAAAAGCAAGCTGGCTGCTGGCCGGGGCGCTGATAGGTGTCAGTAGTGTGCTGTTCTGGCCCTTGCTTGGAGGGATACTTCAGAAAGGTATTCACTGTTCTACAGTTAAACATTTTATTTTTAACCGTTCGGTCCTTTGCCCGTACTTCAGGACCTTGGTGAACTGGGGTCAGGGCAACCAGTTGGGTAGGTTAGCATAGCTCTATTGAAGTTAGCTGCGGATGGCACGGTGCGGGAGTATCGCTTTTTGTGGGATCACCCAGTAACTTTTGTTCTTCTGTTTATATAAATATAAACATTTCATGTTTCATCTTTCCTTTGCTGCGCTACAGAGCCACAGGCAGCTGACCATCAGCAGCATGAGATCTCACATGACATCTCCTATTTTAATAACACGAGTTTCACTTGACGTCGCAGGCATCGCAGTGCGTTGGTCCAGACATGATGATCACTTCCACATTACTTTTTCCTGGGGAAGAGCTGAGGTTTCTTTCCATTAGTCTCTGTGCCTTTGGTTGAGACCACGCTTTGTGGACAGCAGATGTTCTTCTCTGGCTTGAGTGCCGAAAAAGATTTAATGGAAGATCAAAAAAGTGATGCTTGTCCCAGCCCCCAGCAGATGGACCTCATCTGCTCCGGGCAGTTCCTGTCGGGTCATGCTGGAGTGGAAGCAGCCTGTGTCCCCCGTTCAACCCCTCCACCCCGGCATTCACCGTGAGCACAAAACACGGGGTTGGCCACAAACGATTGAAAAAAGAGTGCTGTGACAAGCAAGGATGAGGACTCTTCCAGAATTTCTTTTTCTTTGGCTTTTAAAGGAAAATTCATAGTTCATAATGTACAGTAAGAAGAAACACGTAGAAAAATCTTAAACTCTCAAATGCAACCGTGAAGTTGCAAGGTCAGATTTGGCATCCAACAAATAGGGCAGGAGCAAAGCCACCCCTTCCCTGCACTCCTCCCAGCTTCAGAAGAGCAAGAATGGTGTTGGCAAGAGTGTAGCTATGTGAAAATAGAGAGCGAGAGAGATACAAGCTAGAAATCTGCTGAGAGCAACTTGTTATTATCTAGATTTTGACAGATTGACTCCTTGATGTCCTCTCTGGGAAAATCGTTTGGCATCGATCTCCACAGCTGGAATTGTGCTCCATGCAAAGAGATGGTCCAGCTGTGGCACCCGCATCTTCCCGTAAGCTCAGCACCTCCAGGGTCCGTGGCTTTTGCATTGCCCCTCTTCAGTTCCTGGGCTCCCATGAAAGCCCTCTGTTTATTTGTCTGACCACACATTTGTATTTTAAGACCTTGTGGTTTATGACCAGTCGGGATCAAAGCCAGCAGCCCTGCCGGCTTTGCTGCTTTGCGTTCATGTGCGTCTCAAAACATGGAAGGATCGTCTGCCAAGGGAACTAGAGACAAGCTGGCTTGTAGGGTGTAACCATGACCTACAGCAAAGAGCCTTGGAAGCCTTCGGGATCAGGGCCCAGATTCCACAAAGGGCTGTCCTCTCACGCAAAAAAGAGCCCTAATTTCACGTGCAGCTCTGCAGCAGTTGAAACCTCCCAGACTGGTGTGAAGCACTGGCTTTGTCAGGTATGGTCTCCTCTCCTCCGCGGGATGCTGAGGAGGAGGAGGGAGAAATCATCACCACCTCATTGAGGGAAGGAGAGGGATGGTCGGTGCCACTGCAGCTCTGCTTGTTGCAGAGGAGGTGGGAGGCAGCCTGGGAAGCGCTGGCTCCACGCTGGGACCTGAACTGCCACCTCCCCGAGTGCCGTTACCGCTGTCAAACAGGAATGAAGGAAGGATCTTTCTTCTGGGTTGGCTTGTATTTTAGAGTGACATTTCCCAGCAGCAAGAGGAGGGGAGGAAGGAAATCTTGTTTGCCTGTAAAAGGATTCCCTGCCTGTATCCCACGTGCAGCATGTGACTGGGATAAGAGAGGGGGTGGAAATCCTATAAACCGTGTCCCAGGGTGGGAGGCTCTTACTTTCTGCTTTTCCCCTCTGCCTTTGATATCTCAGACCCTCTGACAGGTCCCTGGAGCTACTCTGAAGATAAATGCAAGGAGAAGAAAGCACTCCAATCACATTGACGCAACTCCATTCCTTTAGCAAGCTATATATATTTTTATTTTATAGTCATTTCAACAGCGGAGAGTTTGGCAATAGTGACAGCCTCAGAAGTGCGCGCTCTGCATTTGTGTGTCTGTGTGTGTGTTTCAATCCCTCCAGCTTGGCTCCCGCTTGACATCTTGGAAGAGCCACCATCATGCTGTTTTTCAACAAAGCAGCGAATCGAAATACCTCTCCCATGGGCTCCCCAAGAGCATCATGTCTTGACACCCCCAGCCTGGCAGCACAGGAGACGTGACCCAAACTGGAGGGGTTATTGCCAAGTGCCAAGCTGCAAAGAACCGCTGATACCTTTCAGCCAACAGCCAGCAAATCAGCGTCGGCCAAGCTTCGTCAGGCTGTCGGGGCGACCTGCGTTTCTTTCCCATTATTGCTGCTTATTTCAATTTTTTTTTTTTCTTTAGCCCTTTTCTTAGCAAAAAATTACCAAGGCCAGACCTTCCGCTGGGCATGACTTTATTGGCACAAGCAGTACTTGGCAGATTTATGTCTGCTGAGGCCTGTGACTGGACCAATAAAGACTGGAGTATTTTAGCTGGGTTTCCTTCACTAGAATAGGTCAGATGGTTCCTAAAGCTGTTAAAGTGGGTTGTCCTGGGGTTCATTTTCAACAGACAGTTGTTTTTTATATGGCAGCATATTCCCTAATAGCATTACATTTCTGTTATTTACTTAATACTTTCACCTTCTATTTCAAAGAATATATTTGACTGAGTATGCTGTAAGTCATCACTGCTTCCTCCGTGATGCTGGAGAACAAAGAAAGCTTCCGATGAGATCTTTTCTAAAGATCTGGCAGCGGATCTAGCTCTCCCACCGAAATCAGTGAAACACTGGCTTCTGACTGATGAGAAAAGGATCGACAAAATGAGGAATGCTTCTGGAAAGGACACCCTCCTCAGTAAGTCAACCCGTGCCTGTTACTTGCTAATTCGTTCATGCACATAGTTGGACGAGTCAGACAACCTGTTGAGCAGCTGGTACTCAGCCAATAAGGCCAATTGTACCTCTCAACGCAAAGCAGGAGTAACTCCCTCTGCTCGATCGAGACATGACCTCGATCCCCAGGAGCCTGAATTGGGGCTCTGTGAGGGACGAGTAGCTCAATCCCTTGGGCCTTGGTGCCAGGGTTTCAGGGAAGCAAAACAGGAGAAGAAAGCGGGAACTAGATTTGCTGGTGTCCCAGCGAGGCTCAGCAAGATGGGAAAGGACATTGCAGGGCAACAGCCCTGGGCAGCTGAGGTGGCTGTTTGCGAGGCTGGGCTGCTGCACTGGTTCTTTGCAGAAACAACCAAGCTGTCCTAGTAAAATCCCTGTGTAAAAAAATATATCTATAAACCGTGCCTTAGTAAGAATGATGCAGCTGCTAACGGGGCTGGATGTGGCCAAACGAAATGCTCTAACGCTCTCTAATCCAATACTGAGCCGTGATGACTTTCTTTGCAAAGAGTGACTTTACTTGAACGTGTGCGTGCATACGTACATGTACACGTACACATGCCTATAGCTTTCTAATCCTGTTGCTGAGGGGTAGGATGGAATTGTGGGTGGGCAGGGGGGCAGCTCCCGCTACTACACGATCATGAACTGGCAGACGGAGGGGGAATCCCCTTGTGGACCCACTGGCCGCCGGCGGCCCCCGACAAGGCTGCGCAGTTTTCCAGCTTGCCGCCGTCGGGCTGGGTGGTGATTTCAGTCTCCCAGTTCTTGTAGCGGATGGGGCCACCCGTCATGTCGACCCACCTGCCCTCCGCTGCCATGTCATTGAGGCCCAGCCAGATCTCCACCTCGGAGCCGATGCTCTTGCGCATGTAGTCGTAGAGGGCATCGTTCTCCTCCCCATTCTGCGGGGTGCTGAGCGTACCGCCCTGGGAGATGCAGTTTTCGCTGGCCTCGTGGTACGTCTTGGTCTCCGAGAATGCAAGGAAGCATTTTAGGTGAATTTTGGTGCCTTTCAGGCAAACTGAGACGTTACCACATGAACAGAACAAAAAGACAGAAAGGGAATTGGTTTTAAACGCAGCGCCCAAGAAAAGGTGGCAGCAGCAGCAGCAGCAAATGCAGCGGCCAAACTACAAACTCTATTTCTTATGGTGTGCAGCGACCTGTGGTGCTGCCCTCAGCAGCACGCGGGTCCTGGGGCCCTCCCCCTCCTACGTAGGGCACGGCTGTGGGGATGTTCCCTCCTGTCTGCAAACCATTGGGAAAAATG